TCTTTATGAATGGCCAAGCTCAACCACGTCCACTTCCATCACATCCTTTTACACAAGCCAAAGACATAAATACTCATTGTGGCATCAACGTTTTGGTCATCTCAATCCATGCACCCTTCAGTAAGTTCTTATTGATCATAATCTCCCCTTCCTTAAATTTTCAATCTTAAATTCTTACAATTCCTGCTTTTGTAATAAGAGTCACAAATTACCATTTGGCATCTCCTCTTTAAAAAGCTCTAGTCCATTTGAACTTATTTATACAGATGTTTGGGGCCAAGCTCCTATCACATTATTTATTCTTGCAATCCCATCACTATGCTAAATACATATGATTGTATCCAATTAAAATATGAGGTTACTCCTATTTTTTAGTGTTTTAAACTGCTTGTGGAAAAAATTTTCATTTATCCATTATCATATTATACTCCGATGGAGGTGGTTAGTATCTTGGCCTTACCTACTTCCTATCAGCTACTGGTATTCAACATTTGTTTTCTCCACCTCACATGTTAGACTAATGTCTACCTCATAAATCGCATACCCACTCCTGTTCTTTAAAATACCTCATCATTTGCCTTTTTTTTCAAGAGTCACCTAACTATCATAACCTTCGTGTCTTTGGTTGTCTATGTTATCCATGGCTCAAACCTCATCTTCATCACAAACTTGAATCAAAATCTTCCCCACGTGTCTTTCTTGGTTATTCCAAGTCTCATCATTATTATTAATGCTCAAATCCTACTACCTCTCATATTTATTTATCTCACCACGTACTCTTTATTGAAGACATATTTCCTTTCAAAACTCATTCCTCTCATACAGCTCATGTCACTCCCTTCATTTTTCTAACTGGACATCTGTCTTTATATGTCATGACTCTCTTCCTCAGCCCACCTTAGTCAACCCGATACCTCATGATGCCATTGTTATAATTCCTTTCCCCACTCATGTCTCTAGTCTGTCCCCAGCCCCATCTGCCATAACCTCTACATCTTCTAATGAGGCCTTCACGAGTGTTCGTCATGGTCTCACTCATTCTTCACCAGTAAGCTCTTCTATTCATCAAACACTCATGTATTGTCACTGGATCAAAAAATAATATTTTCAAATCCAAAGCTATATTTGATTATATTGCAGTTACTATTGACATTACTTTCTCTAATTTTTTACAAGCTTAAAAACACCTTTATTGGCGTCAAGCCGTGAGTACAGAATTTAATGCCTTAGTCCATAACCAAACGTGGGATCTTATTCTTCCTAGCTCCTCTCAAAATCTTTTGGCTTACAAATGGCTTTACATAATTAAACACAAGTCTAATGGTACCATCAAGCATTATTAAGCTCATTGAGTTGTATGGGGGTTTAAGCAATAGCCTAGAGTGGATTTTTTTTTTGAAGCATACAACCCTATTATCAAGCCCATTATATTTTGTTTAATATTAGCTCTTGTTGTCCAGCAGCATTAGCCTTTGCACCAACTAGATATCAATAACATTTTTCTCTAAGGCCGTCTCAATGAATGTGTGCTTATGAAGCAACCCATTGGGTTCACACACCCATAATTTTCAAACCATGTATGCTGCCTATGTCTAGTTGTGGCTTAAAGTGACACCTAAGATGTGGTACCAAGAGCTCAAGATTTTCCTTCTCTCCTATAAGTTTTAAAACTCTCATTCAGATACCTTTTTTTTTCCTAGGGTAGTACACGTCTATTTTTGTTAGTATATGTATATGATATTATTCTTACAGGGAACTCTTTTAGTGTAGTTGATAGAGTGGTTCATGATTTTGCTGTCCATTTTTCCCTCAAGTATCTTGGAGATCTCTATTTCTTTCCTGGCATTAAGGTTATACACAATAAGCACGAGTTGTTTCTCTCACAACAGAAATACATCACTCATCTTCTAATCAAGCACAACATACTTAAAGGAGTTTATAATCTAATGTCCACTTCTGAAAGGCTCTTTGCTGACAGTGATCAACCCCCCATAGATGTTAAACAATTTTGTTTGGTTATTGAGGTCCTTCAATACCTCTCCCTCACATTTCCTGACATCTGTTATGCTATGAACAAACTATCACAATTCATGCATAGTCCTTGTATCTCTTATTGCATAGTTGTCAAATGGGTTCTTTTTTATCTTAAATAGACTATTTCCTTTGGCATCCATCTCTAAGCTTCCTCTTCCCTAGATCTTCATGCTTGCTCTGATGCTGTCTAGGCAGGAGATCTTAATGATCACCTTTCAACTTCGGCATATATTGTGTTTCTAGGACCCAATGTCTAAGGTTATTGATAGGCTTCCTTAGGACACCAAAACATAAAAATGCAATATGTAGCTTCATGGCTTGGGTCATCCCAAGCTTGAAGTCTGAGCACTGTGAGAGTAGAGGGATGAATTAAAAAAGAAAAAGAAACAAAAGAAAGAGAGAAAAGAAAGAGGGAAAATGAGAGAAGGATAGGAAAAAACCTGGTTGTGCCAGGAAGGAAAAGAAAAAATGAGTTGGGCTGGACTAGTTTGGCCTAGAGAAAAAGAAGAGAAAATAAAGCCACGAGTGTAGCACCCAAGGCATAAACATAGAGGCCATGAGCAACGCACAATAGCTGGCTCGTCAATCGAAGTTGAGTATCGAGCTATTGCGGCCTTAGTAGTAGAAATCAACTGAGCCTAAAATTTGCTCAGTGAGCTTCACCTAACTCCCAGTTCAGCTCCAATAGTTTTTTTTTTTTTTATAATATTGGCACTATGTATTTGTGTAAAAACCTTGTCTTCTACATCAGGATGAAGCACATTAGCCTTGATTTTCATTTCATTCGTACTCAAGTACAAGCCAACGTTCTACATGTTGTTCATGTTCACTCCCAAAACTAGCTAGCTAACTCTTTAACCAAGCCTTTTACTCGACATATGCATGAAGCTCATAGGCTCAAGTTGTGTGTTATGGATACTGTGCTCAACTTAAGGGGGTATGTTGAGGATTATGTTAGTAACCATCTTCATCCACAACACTCTCTACCAAATTCACAAGGATAGCTCTTTTCTCAACAACTCACGACTCTTATCTATTGTATAGTTTCCTTGTATTTTGGCTTAGCTAAGATTCTTATCTACAGGTTAAGTTTATCTTATAATATAGTAGCTGTACATAACATAGCAGGTCTTGCAATTATATGAATTGAGCTTAAATAAACAAAATCATTTTACCTTAATGTTCTTGTTCTTTTAATCCTCACTCTTATTATAGGTATGCTCTTTTTTATTTTTAATACTACTTGGTTATTTGATTTTACCTTAAGGTTATGTGCAAAACACGAGTTTGCATAAGCTTTTTGTGAACTTAAAAAGGAAATTTATTGATAGTAATACAAATTACTTCTCCAGTTAAATCAATCTCATCATAAAAACATTTGTAATATTTTTGTGTTTCTACAAAGTCCAATATTATATGAAATTATTACTTTAAATACTGCAATTTTTTATAACTATAGAACCTAAAAATTAATGTTGGAGAAAACACTAATATTTTATGCACAAAAACGTCTTGTTTCTTTATTATAAAAAACTAAATCACATAAAAACTGTTTTTTTTTCCGTCTCCTGTTACTTCATTGGTAACGGTTCAAAATAAAAATATATTTTTTCTTTTATACACATATGTCGCCCAAACAAGAAAAAAAAAATAGCATCCTTTTTTCTTTCCTTTTCCGCAACCATACAGATACACCTTTTGGTCCTTCTTTTTTTATTTTTTTCATTTCAATTTTTTTCTTCGTTGTTTAAGTTAAAGTTATATAAATACTGGACATATAATATACTTTAATACAAACAAAGTACCATTTACGTTACATACTTATAAGCATGTATGACGAACACCCGTAGAAAACTGTCCAATATTCCTAGATTTCAATAGAATGTTGCTAGTCTTGGAGAAGAGAATTATATGATGTCTCTATGCTTCTGTCCATACACATTAATTAGTTCTTAATTTTTTGGCTAAGTTCCAGGTGCAACTTATATATGAACTTGATACGGTCTGCATCTTTGAAATAATATTGTTGATGGTGTGGTTTTTTTTATGGCGGAAAGGATGGTGCGTAACTAATAATGATGGATGATGATTCAATAATTTGACTTAACTATAAAATAAGTCATTTTTGGTAAATGGAAAGACCCTTCAGTGATTGATTTCGGTCCTATGGTTTTTCTTCTTAAATTAATGAGGTTTTTTAATGAAAAATTCATATGTTTTTTGTGTGATTGATATATATATATATATATATATATATATATATATATATATTAGTTATTTATTTTATTTTGAATATTTTACTTGTAGCTTTTATTTAATTATTTAAGTAAAAATAAAGAGATTCTGTTGTGTTGTTCGTGTTTTTTGCCCAATAATAAGGACAAAATATTGACATAAGGGACTTGTTTGAACTCAAATCTCAACAATTGCCTCATTCTGCACATTACAACAGATCTTTGTTATTATGAGGATAGTGATAAAGTAAATCTAAATAGTCCTCCTTTGGAGTGCAAAATTAGCAAATTCTCATCTGATCACATGCTGTATCTTATGGTAATTAGACCATCAATGCTGCCAAAGGAACCTGGCATCGAATTGCTTGGAAGTGACCTTGGCAAAGATTTGTCGGAGGAGGATGAAGTTGTATTTTGGACATCCTGAAATTCCTTCTTTTTTTTTTCTTTTTTCTTTTTTTGGCCTTTTGTTGTTTTCGATGTTCATCCAGAAAAAGTTTTCAAACTTCAATTGGTTTTTAATTGTTAACGGACCATCAACAGTACAAATGACATATTAGCGGAAGAAAATTGAATCAGTGTAGATGGTGAAATTCCCCTTTTCGATGCTATTTCTCTCAAACCTTCAGTTTCTTCATCAATTGTCTGAGTGCAAATTTCTCACTGTTTTTTCTTAGTTTCTCAATCATCTTTGATTGAATCTGTATACTTGTTGCAGTGAGACCCATTTCAATGGGTGTTACCGGTGGATCTCAACAGCGCGGTGGAGGTCAGGGATCCCGATCTAGCCGACATTAATTTAATTATTGGGTTTGCTTTTCTGACAATTCAAGTATCAAGAATGGTAAACGATCTTTCTATGCTCTTCTGCTTTTCTTTACAAGTATCACATATACAAAGAAAGAAGTGCCTTGCTTGTCCTCCAATCAAAGGTATCTGTTGGAATTTGAGATCTTTCTCTCTTTATTCTCTTTGTATTACTTTTAAAAGTGCACAGGACAACCAACCATTACACACGCTTTTGCTGCCACTATGAGGTGCTTTTGTGAGTTTCACACTCAACCTTATGATTCCATGTCAAGCCTCAAGGTAAAGATTGATATCCCTTGAAAGAGTCCTCGATAACTGGCTATAAATCAGATGCACGGATACATACATCTACGAAACACCAAGAATTGAAACCTTTCAGAAACTGATCATAAGCTGCCCCATCCACTAAATTTGAGCTTCATCTCCTGTTTCCATCACTCCCCATATTCCACATCGAGCGTGAGTGAGAGATCTTAGCAGTATAAATTCCAGGAAACATGACCCTAAAAGCAGCTCATGAGCCTAGCAAACTTGGGTGCCGTGGAGCTGAAGTTCATCAGTGGTGCACAAAGCTGAAGATTTTGGACACCTTTTCCTTCACTCAGATCAAACACGATCATACTGCTTACTCCCTGGAAGACAACAAGTTGTGCTCAAGGCAAGTGCTTCGCTTGGTACTTAGAATTGCAGTGCCTTGGAACTCCAAATCCCCTTGTTCTAGTCAACTCCACTGTTTGTTGCTGGAATTATCAAGTATGGAGATAGGACTTGGGTTCTCATGTGCTCAACTACCAAGAACACATCAGAAACTTTCACGCAGCAGCTCCTATGTGGGAACCAAGGATTGCTCCTCGGCAACATCCTCCTACTGGTTAATTACCTACATCAAGCTGCTTACTCAAAGTTCATAGAGGTTGAGCTTGGATTTATGTATGATTTGCTCTACATGAAAATGTCCACTATTTATTCTCAACCAGGAATCTTTCTTCACACCATTAGCTTCTCGTCCTATATTGTGGCATTTCTTACTGTTCATCATGCCAACTTACTAGAGGATGCATGGCTGTAACTTATTTGTGGTGGAGCCTTCTTCCGGGAAAACTATATACCCTCAAATATAAAATATCGGATCACTAATGCACTAGTGAAGCCTTAGGTATGGGTGTATGGCAAGTCATGTTGCAGATATATACCTTTTGATTTCTGGATTCATGATCATAATCATTCAAAATGTACAAGTGAAAGATACGTTTGTTGGTATAAAATATTAAAGCAGACATGTAAAAAGTTATAGCCCTGTGTTGAATTAAAAATATAAAACGTTCGAGCATCGACCAGCAGGTTCTTACTCCTACCGATATAGAATAGTGTTTAGTTGAAGAATGGAACATAATTGCATAAAATAAAAGGTGGAAAATAAATTAGAGCAGACTGAGTATCTGCCATGAGTATCCAATCAGACCCATTCTCTGCCATACGCAAAACAACTCTATACAGACGCTTAATCATTGCTCATGAGCTAGTTATTAAGCTACTAACCTCTGTTTTCGATTAGTGGTACTCCTCTGAGCCTTATAAACATGTTTCAGAACAAGAATCGGTGGCCCCCTAATGTGAGGCAAGCTTCAAGTCGTGTTTAGATTTTGGGACATCATTCTGATTGCATACTGGAACCTTTATCTACTTGGATGCTAAAATGGAGTGGGAATTTTCTTCGATCATAACTTGGGAAGTTGGGCAGATAGAAATGCAATTATCTCTACATTTACTGTGTGGTTTTTTTCTTTTTTCCTTAGTTCTTTCTTTATAGAATAAGATCAACCTGACTGGTAAAAGAAATACAAGGAAGTTAATATATCTTCACTTTCAATGTTTTACTGTGATAGAGGAACGAGATTAAAATAGTGACCAAACGTAAAACGTAAAAAGACGACATTAAGATAAAAAATAGTAAAGTAAGATGATAAAGACGAAAAAAATATTGAAGGATCCTTACCACTGTTAACCCGATAAAAAAAGTCAGAGATAAAAATCCACTTTCAAAAATTCCACTCCTTAAATAACGCGTATCCCTTCTTTTTCTACGCTGCATGTCTAATTCATTTTCATTGCTAAATTATGTCCAGATTGTAGAAAAAGATATATATATATATTACAAGCATTTAGAGTTTTTTTTTTTTTTTCTTCTGTTTTGAGGAATGGTGGTGAAGATGATGAGGTGGCATGTTAGAAATCTTGGATATGTTAAATAATAAATTAAGTATGTTATGAAAAAAAATTGAGAGTGTTTTTAAGTAAAATTTTTATCTCACATTAAAAAAAATAAAAAAATAAGATAGCTTATGAAGTGAATCTCCAGTAAAATTCTAAAATATTTAATTGAAGTAATTGCAATTGTATCTAGAGGTAAATTATTAAAATTCCTATTGATTATTTTTTGAATATTATAAAATTTCTCATAACTTCTGCACATATGACATATGACATTGGCTGGAAGTGATTTGAAGGGCAAGGTGGAGATTGGGTGGAAAGGATCCAAATTGGCCTTGAGTTCGTTGAGGAAGACATTGGTGAAGAAAAATTTTACGAAAGAAGTGGAGGTTCAGAGTGAGGGTTGCTAAGGGGAAGGTGAATAAACGGTGGCGTTTTGGTGGAGTGGAATGAAGAGTTTTAAGAGTTTGGGTACTTTGTCTGGTTATAAAGCAAGTGTGTTTGATCCTTGAGAAATCTCTTTCACTGTGTTTGGCGGGTTATCTTGCGTATGCATCAATTAAGAGGATTTTTGTAAGAATAAATAAATAAATAAAAGATGGTTGGACAGTAGAGATAGTCTATCTTTCAAATTGGAATGTAATTTAAAAAGACTTCATTAATAATCCTAGATGTATTGCTACCACTTCTAAGGATTTTTTTTTTTTTTTTTATGTTTTTCTTATAAATAAAGCAAATTAAATCAAACAATTAAAACCAATTCACAAGTTGCAACCTTGTAATACTTCATGCTCGTCTGTAATTGCTCATGCATCTTTATAATACTCCACATTCTTTTGTAACTGTTACCATTTAGCTCTATGCTATTTTATAACTATTATTATCATGTTTTATTTTCTTTGGTGATTGTTAGAAAAATCTATCTTTTACATTTATCTTTTTATAGTGTTTTGTTTAATCAAAATAATTCATAATTAATAAGTATCTTGGTACAAGCAAATTCTACTAAAAGCTAAAATAGTTGGAGAGTTTACTCGTTCATTTAAACAAGTAAATGAATAGTAATTTCTTAGTTGTCATTCACTCTTAGCTTTTTTCCTTTTTAATTTTTAAATTGTTTTGTTTTAGTCTCTAAAATTTTAAAATAAAAATTTAATCCCTAGCTCATGTATTACATGAATTTTTTTTTCCTTTGGTTTTTTCTTTGCTTTTTTCCATCAATTTATGTTTTATTTATTTAGGTGTTAAAATTTTTAAAAATCAATCGTCACTTTTTTTCACACAAACTAACGATTATATAATATATACGATATGTTTTATATTTTAGTTCACCCCCTCATTTACTATCCACTCTTAATATTTTTTTGTAAATTTTAAATTATTTCATTTTAGTCCTTAAAATTTTAAAATAAAAGTTTTAATCCCTAGCCGATGCCTACATGCTTTTTTTTTCTTCGTTTTTTTCCATCAATTTATGTTCTTTTTTCATTTAATTGGGTGTTAGAGTTTTTAAAAATCAATCGTTACTTTTTTCCACACGAACTAACAATTGGGCATTTTTTGTGATTTTCTACAATGGCATTTTCGTGATTTCTTTATAGTTTTTTTTTTTCATTCATTTTCAAATTTTACACTTCATTTCTTTTTGGTCCTTTTATGTTTTCAAAATGTATTTTTGTTCCTCATATTTTTTTAAAAAATATTTTTGGCCTCTTATGTTTTTAAATTTTAGAACAAGCACATATATTAGATTGTATTTTTTTATTAATTGAAATTAATCTCTTAAATTTATCGTTTATTATAAAAATTTTCATCAAATTAAATTTTTTTATAAAATTTTATTTGTTAATAAATATGATTTATTTATCTATGTGTATGAATTTTCAATATGTGTTTTAATAAATAATAAAATTCACGTGTTTGTTCTAAAATGAAGTGTAAAATTCATAAAATTTTATTTGTTAATATGTTTTTTAATAAATAATAGAACACACACACAAAAAATTAGTTTTGTTGAAAATTAATTATGTATCTATATACATAACACTAATTATTTGTAATTTATTCTTTTCTATATTCTAAAATTAATATTTTTTAATAAAATAATTAAAATATATATCATTAGTTTTGTTATAAATTAATTATGTATTTGCATACATAACCCAAGTTATTTGTTATTTATTCTTTTTATTTCTAAAATCAATATTTTTTTTAATAAAATAATTAAAATAATGTTTTGAAAAAACCTTTCAATTATTCAAATATAACTTTTTATGCTAATATTATTGATTATTTTATTAATAAATATATATAAACCAAAATATTTTGCTCAGCAAATAGATTTGATTTACATTAATTATGAGAAATAAGATTTTTATCCGCATTATACTATACAAAATCGTTTATCTTGCATACATAGTTGTCTAATCGCAGCAGCGTAATGCGAGTATCCAACTTATCATTCATTAAAATAACTGATATATGAAATCAAATTACTTGACTTTTTACCGTATGCATTTTGGGTGTAAAACATTGTCTTCAATACGAGTTTTTTTCAGGTTAATTTATTTTTTTCATTATCTTTTTTTTTTTTTTTTGGATTGCCACTTGTTTAATAAAAGAAGTCACATTACGGTATCATCCGTGCAGTAACACTCTAAGTCCACTTTCAATTTTTTTTTTCGGCAATAAGCCCTCGAGTCAGCTAAGAAAAAGTCGACCAATCAAACTAGAGTTTATTATATATATATATATATGTATATGAAATTTTTTATATAATTTGATTATAATGAAACCTTCAGATCAAACTTCCACTAACGAGGGGCTTAAACAAAGCAGCAACGAGTAGTTAGCCATTAAAAAAATAGGCTTAATTTCGTCTTCATTGTTATTGATCCCATTAAAACAAAGCAACAAATACAATAAAACAATGCAAACAAATGTCTCAAAACTACATTGCAGATCCAAAAAATTAATCAAATTAAAAATAAAAATTAATCAAATTCCATTTCAAGAATCAAACTCAAGAATAATACAGTAAAACAAAGTTAAAAAAAAACGTCATCAATCTCTGCAAATAAAGTTACAACAGATGGAAAAGAAACAAACGGACGCATACCTTTAAATGCAGTGCTAGACCACAAAAAATGATTTTCTTTTTTTCCCAATAGAATTCACACCAGTACAGTTGGATGCACCAGAATCCTTAAGATGAAAACCCTAATTCCCTTGCTTTCCTTTTAAATTGTTCATGGGGTTTTTACAAGAGAAAACTTGGCTCTCAATGTTTTGCAGCTTTGTTTCTTTTTTTAAAGTAGTCCATGTTATTATTTTTAAATCTACATGTATCAAAAAAAATTTTATGACATGACAATTAAAATTTAAAAAAAATAAAGTAATTTATCAGCTTTCACTAATTATTTTTTATATATTATAAAATTTATTTGTTCCTATGTACCTGAACATAACAAGTAACGAGAGTCAAAAATTGATTTGGTCGAGGTTCATTCAACTTCTGGCTTAAGTCTAGAACAAGATGGCTCTTGACAAATTCCAAGCAACAATGAGGTATCTCATTTAATAGTCTAAAACTATAAACTGGGTAGTAACAGATAGGTCAATATCAATCCTGGGACAAAACCAAACCACAAATGCTACGAAGCAGAACCAAACATAAAGTTGAAATTTTTAAATTTAACAAGACAGGGTTTGCCGTCTCTTGAGAATCCAATTGTCAACACCAATCACAATTCCCCAAGCCCTTTCTCCAATCCTCATTGGCGCATACATCTCAACCACCATGACATAACAAGATCAGAACAAGTTAATAACAAAAACAAAACAAAGAGTTTATTATGTTCTCTAATCTCTCTCTCTCTCTCTTGCAGGCTTTCAATAAAACATCACATCCTCCAAATGAACAGCGCACCAAACCCTATAGAAAATGCTTTTTACCGTCTCCTTCTCAAAAAAAAAAAAAAAAAAAAAAAAAAAAAACAGTGATATAGCATTGTATTATTTTAAGCACATTTTCAAAGAATTAAGTCTACGAGCTCTGTCCTCTCTTCCATACACCTTTTTCCATTCTGTGTCGTGCAGAAAATGACCATTGAAGAATCAGAGCCAAATCATGCATCAGATCACATACTGGATTGGCTAGAGGATTCAGTATCATTCCTCCCATCTTTTTTGGATGATCCGTACAACACAGCCGATATCAATCCCTATCAATGGTGGGATCAGGCAGAAGAGATTTACCAGGATCTAGTCAACACCAACACTAGTCTCAGTAGCAGCACAACCACCACAACAAATATCAATACAACTAGCCTTGTCTCCCCGATCAATCCCATCGTATCTAATCATCCACAACCGTCCACTACAAACAAGAAACGGAAAGATCCTGAAGACCCAGTTTCCAAAACGTCCCAGAATCATCATCAGAGAAAGAATCCGAACCATCGGATGAACAAGGAAGAGCGAGATGGTGAAGCAGTAGTTGAAGGAGTGGTGGCAGTGAAAAAATCAAATGGGAACAGGAAAAGCGCCAACAAGAGCACGGGCAACAACTGCAATAACGGTAACAACAAGGAAGGAAGATGGGCAGAGCAGTTACTTAACCCTTGTGCAGCTGCTATCACCATTGGAAACTTGTCACGCGTGCAACATCTTCTCTATGTGCTCCACGAGCTAGCCTCACCAACTGGCGATGCTAACCACCGGCTAGCAGCTCACGGGCTTCGAGCACTGACTCACCACCTATCACCCACATCAACCGGTTTGTCCTCGGCATCTATAGGAACCATTACTTTTGCTTCTACTGAGCCGAAGTTCTTTCAAAAATCTTTACTCAAATTCTACGAGGTTAGTCCTTGGTTTGCCTTCCCTAATAACATTGCAAATGCCTCTATCCTTCAAGTTCTTGCACAAGAACAAGATCCCGGGCGAAACCTTCATATTCTTGATATTGGGGTCTCCCACGGTGTTCAGTGGCCTACACTTCTTGAGGCCTTGACTCGCCGGCCTGGAGGGCCTCCTCCTCTAGTTCGCATCACAGTCATCACTGCCACGGCTGAAAATGATCAAGGCACTGAGACCCCATTTTCAATAGGTCCACCTGGAGACAATTTTTCCTCCAGACTACTTGGTTTTGCTAAGACTATGAACATCAATTTGCAAATCAAAATACTTGATAACTACCCATTACAAAAACTTAGTGGACGAATAATAGACGCCAAGCCTGAAGAAGCCTTAATAGTCTGTGCACAATTCAGACTCCATCATCTAAACCACAACACACCAGATGAAAGAACTGAGTTCTTGAAAGTTTTGAGAAGGTTGGAGCCAAAAGGAGTGATACTTAGCGAAAACAATATGGATTGTAGCTGCAACAACTGTGGGGAATTTGCAACAGGATTCTGTCGGAGAGTTGAGAATTTATGGAGGTTTTTGGACTCAACAAGCTCAGCTTTCAAAGGCCGAGAGAGTGAAGAAAGACGGATGATGGAAGGAGAGGCGGCGAAGGCCTTAACCAATCGTGGAGAGATGAATGAAGGGAAAGATAAATGGTGTGAGAGGATGAGGGGGTGGGATTTGTAGGCGAGGTGTTTGGAGAAGATGCCATTGATGGGGCTCGAGCGCTGTTGAGGAAGTATGATGGTAACTGGGAGATGAGAATCGAAGGGAAAGATGGATGCGTGGGGTTATGGTGGAAAGGGCAGCCTGTTTCTTTTTGTTCTTTATGGAAGGTGGATGTGAAAGGAAGAGAGTTAAAACATTAGCAGCGCCTCGTTCATCTTCTTCATGTAAATGTTCTGTTTTTATTTGTATTTTTATTTTTCCAAGACTTTTTCATTATGTAAATTTAATGAATATAAAACTATATGTCAGAGGCTGGTTGTTCAGTCCTGTGTTTTTGTTACATGGAGGATTACATTGTTAGTGATGTATTACAAAAAAGCAGCACAAACCATTTGCTTCGTTTCCTTTTCATTTCCATTGATACTAAAATTATTAATGCGATATAGGCCAAGCCTACCATTAAACAATCTTCTTCGTCTAGTGAAAGCTCAATTTTGCTTTGGGTGTCTTGCCCTTTTTTTCTTTTTTTTTTTTTTTGGTTCTTGTCCAATGAGAGATTGGACCAATCAATTGCTGGTGAGAACCAATCAGTTGGCTCTTGGGACTGGTTTTACTGACCGAGATGGCTAATACCTGCCAATTTTTCTTATGAAGGAAAGAGAGCCTTTAGCCAAAGCAAGCACTGCGTACAGGTCACAAGTCACAACAGAACAGTTTTACAGCAGAAAATATGCTGCTCCTGCTGATTGTTTCCATTTCTATACAAGACAAAGGTTCAAGTTGATTTGAGTATTTGGCTAGACAAAAGAAGAATGTATTATTAATGAGACATAAGAGGACCCACGACTAATCGATGAGAAATTGAGAATAGATGAAAATTCAGACATAAACAGTACCCAAAACAAAAGAGCATTGCATCTCGGTGAATAATCAGCAAGACAAACATCCTAAAGCATTACAGAAGGATGATTTTTTCCAAACACATTAAGACCACAGTTGCCATCAGAACGAGCATAAAATGCTATGTTATCGAGTTTTTGTCTTTTTTTCAATTTCTGAGTCATTTTGGTTTTTTCCTGAGTAATATTATCACCCCTTGTATGACTTTGTTTGGGGTGTTTAAAAGCCAGCAATATAGACGTAGCACTATCCCATGACATGCTAATTAATTTAGCTACCTTCTATACAATAGATATACTCTTACTACAGTATTCTGTTACAAAAAACAGTAATTCTGCCCTCAAGATTCAAAAATCCTGATAGAATTTCGGATTGCCTGCCTACAGAGAGGGCATTTAGGTGATACCTCACTTTCAACTGATATGGCACAGCTATGACAACATGCAAGATGCCCACATGGAATGAATGCAGATCGCCTTCTCCTCATCAAGCAGATCACACACAACTGTCCATCAGGCACGTCTCCTGCTTCCTCATCTTCATCAATCTGAGAGACATCTCCGCCACTGACACGGCTTGGCTGCTGAGAGTGTCTTTGCCTCCACGCTTTCCATTTATTCCAGTTCCTAAAGACAAATTGTTCTTAATGATTATGAAAATGAATAAGATCTTATAGCTAGCATCTGATTAGTTCTTTTTCTTTTCATAATTCAGCTCTGACACATAAGCATCAGAGTTTTTCCCTCTTGACATGTAGCAGGAATAGAAATCTACGTGAAATGTATGAACTGGAATGAGCTCTTTTGCAGCAAATGATCTTTAGAAGAAACTTCTATACCTCATAACAGCAAAGCCAAGGACCCCAATTGAAAGTGAACCAAGAACAATACCACTCCATAGCAGTATTTTCGCCTTGAAGGCAAGATCTGCCACCATTTGATCTTTGGTCATGTCAGCCCTGGAACAACCCAGAAGAAAAGTTATTTCACTGACAATGGTCCGAAGAGAGCAAGAGAAAATATAAACATCCTTGACTTCATTGAGGTACTAAAGTCATACGCAATAAGAAACTGATGAATTAGAAGCTCAATGGTCCACCATGGTCTCATGGGATAAGCACACTCAACATAGTTTTTGAACCCAACAAGGAAATTGTCATTTTTACAGACCACCATCATGAATGTTAAAAGCAATAAATTCAAGTAATCTAAACACAAATCCCATATGCAATGGGAAAATCTAAGCCACAATTGCAAAAAAATTAGCATGTCTAACTACAAGGCCCAACAGGCTATGTTCTAAACTAAGTCACTTACAGAAAATAGGGAAGATCCTTGCAAGATTTTATCTCAGGAATTCCATTTTTAGAATTGCAAAAGCCAACAGCGCTGATACACTTCCCTAATGGCAGGATTTTCTCCTCGTGAAGCACCCCAACCTTCAAAACAGAAAAGATTGTGCTGTTAGGCCTAGCACGGACATCAAAAAACCAAAGAAACATGACTGCAGAAATAAAGCAATATGCATTAAGATCATTTAAGGAAAGTTAAGCAGCACATCTAGAATTAACAAATTTGGAACTCACAGGGTATTCATGACCGAAAAGGGCCTGAATGAATGTATAACGAGAAGCAACAATGGGTTGCAACTGATGATAAACTGTGGTAAGAGGTAGGGGGTGTCTCGATCCGTCCATGTTCACGATAACATAATCAGATTGTGGCCATTGACCACCTTCAACAAGTATAAAAGGAACCTATCAAATAAACAACAATACAGAAGGTAAGTCCTTCTCGTCAAATCTACCAAATAACCCACTTGACAGATACTCAACCCATTGAACAATATAAGAGAAGCAAAACTCTCCGAGAATAACAAAGTAAAGATTAAAAGGATTCACCGTTCTTAACAAGGTTGTTTCTTGTTCTTTCAAAGATCTGCCAAAGAGAGCTCGTAACTCGGAAGTCCATCCTAAAAAGCCCTTCCACTCATTGTATATACACTTGACAAGCATAAACCAAAAACATATACATTAGCCTTTCTTACAACTTGTGAAATAATCACGAAACAGTCAACAAGACTCCCAAACAAAAGTTTTGCTTCCATTTTCCAGAAAATCAATTTCTGTCAATCTAAACAATTAAAAAAAAAGCCCGGAAACAAATGCAAAAATCTTTAGTCCGTCATGACACAATAATCGAGCAACGACTGTACAACAATCTAGACCTTCCTGATATGCGCAGAATCATACAAATATTAATTTTTTAACAAACGTTATTCTCTATCGTGTAGCCCAAGACCCATTGCGCCTTCCAATTTCCCTTTTCTTTATTCTAAATAAAAAATCAAAGCCACAGCAGAGTACAAATTCTGGGTTGCAAAAAATAACGAAAAACATAAAAAATAGATAAAAAGATGAAAAGATTACGCACAGTTTGAGTTCTTTGTAGAATAACAGCTTTATCAGCAGACTCGTGAGAAAGCAAAACATTAGGAGGTCTCGAGCTCTTCTTCCAGGTCCCATCAACGGCTGATTTAGCCTCAACGTGTCCTCTGACAATTACGATGTTATGCTCCTGGTCCTGGTGATCTTGATCGTGATTTTGAAGGAGGGAGCGGAGGTCGGAGACGGAGACAGTGGGTGACTTGCGGATTTTGGCTAGGGATTTGGAGTTCGCTGCGTAATTGAGAATTGAACGTACGGCGGCATAGGCAAGAGCCGCCCCGAGAATTGCTCCGTCGAAGGACAGAGCAAGTTGGGATAGGAGGGCGGCCAGTGCTTGCTCATGGGAACGTGATGACATTTCTTTTCTTTTTGGGTCTCTCTAGTAGTTCATGTTTCGGTTTCTTTCTCCATTTTCTTTTTTGGTGATGGCCGGACACAGAGAGTGAAACTTAGGGAGGAGATGGAATCCATGTCATGTGGATGTTTTCTTTATCAAACGTCGCCGTTTATTTATTTATTTATTTTTATTATTACTTTTTTAATCCTTTTTGGGAGATTGGGGTGCGCTTGTTAAGGTGGTTCCCTAACTAGGTCCTGCCGTCCTAGCTCCTGAAATCATTTTTTCTCTATTTTGAAGCAAAAGCAAAAATAGCAACATAGATTGATTGAAACCAAAGCTTAAGTTTCTTTTGGAATAAAAAGAGATTAGGTTGATCCAAGTAATTTCATTTTTCTTTTTTCCTTTTACTTTAAGATCATTCATATCCTATTTAGTGTGTTCACACAAAAAAAATTTTTAGAAACCTTTTTTGAACTTAAGCTTTTTTCAAAAAATAAAAAATAGTATTTCATTAATCTAAAAAAAACACATGAACACATCACCATTTTCACATTAAGATATAGAAAAAAAATAACAACGGTGAAAAATTGAATCTTAATGTTTGCAAAAGATCTTGATTAAACTAATGAAAAAAACTAATCTCCTATATTAACACTTGTTCAATTTATCGATTTAGACGATAAAGTAAATTATCCGAAACTATTAAAAGTGGTTGTCTTTACAAAAAATTGTAGTACCTCACATCAAAATCTTCCAACTAAGCATAAATAATTATCAAACCATTATCCAAAAAGAATAAACTCCAACAAGTAGGAAACCAAACCCTCGACAAGAGAGAGGCACAAGCAAAACACTCATTTACATACTAATCTAGATTCACTCATAAATATAAAAAGGATATGATCTAAAACTAATAAATAATAGCTCTTTTTTCAATTGATACATAATTTTTATTTTCTATATCTACAAAAGAAAACAACAAAAAAAGAATAGAAGACTAAAAAGATGGTTGTCGTTGGTGATACCTCAAAGGCGACAACGAGAAACGTTTTCAAAGAGGAAGCTTTTGTTAGAGAGAAGTGAGAGTGAAAACGCCAAGTTTGAATTTAAAATTAAAATAATTATAATATATTCATCTACCGATCCCGTATATTAGTCGTGTTTTCTCTTATATCTTTTTAAGAATTTTTTATTTTTATATTTCCTAGTATATTGATATGTTTTCTCATATACCCTTTTGCTATTTTCTAGGAAAAAATGCCCCTTAGAACACTAAAATAAATTTATTTTTCAAAATATAAAAACTAATAAATTAAGTTTCACAAATTTTAAAAAAATTCAAAAATCCAAAAAATGCAAAACTAGAAAATTTCAAAAAATGTAAAACGTAAAAATTTGAAACATCTCAAGAAAATTGAAATAAGCTATAAAAAAAATATTTGTAACTAATGAAAAGTATAAAAAAAAAAACATCTCTTGTAAATTTATTTCATTGCCATGCACAAACACACGAATTTTATAACATAATTTTTTTCATCTTTTAGATTTATAAGTTATTATTATTCTTTAAGATTTTTCAATTTTTCTTTTTTTTTCCTAGGTTTTTTAATGTTTTTTTAATTTTTTTCATTTTTTCTAGGATATTTTAAAGAATTTCAAAATCAAAATTTCATTTCATGATTGTAAGTCATTTTAACAAGATTTGGGAAGATAGATTTTGAGAGAGGAGTGAAAAATACCTCTTACTCTTCTCTCGTTGCATTTCTTCTATATATATAACGGTAACAAAACATTTAAAAAAAATTCAAAAATTTGACCAACTAATACATGCAAAATTCCCTAATTAACCTTGGTAGTTACAATAACTAAGCAAGAAGTAAAACATGTGGAAAAACATATGTTAGGGATGTTAATACCCCTCCTCAAACCGAAGCACAAAGGATGAGAATGCCCGAACTTGGATAATTGCGGAATAAATGTTGCAGGAGCTAAAGGCTTAGTGAAACAATCGGCTAATTGGTTAGTTGAACACACAAGAAGGAGATGAACAATCCCCCGTAGAAGTTTTTCCCTCACAATGTGGCGAGTTAATCTCTATGTGTTTGGTCCTCTCATGGAAGACAGGATTCTTGGCTATGTGGATGGCGGACTAATTGTCACAAAAGATAAGTGCTAAGTGAAAGTAAGGAACATGAAGGTCGTCGAGGAGATACAAGAGCCATTGCAGTTCACAAGTTACCGATTCAAGTGCTCTATATTCGGCCTCGGAAGAAGATTTGGAAATTGTTAGCTGCTTCTTAGATTTTCAAGATATGAGAGATGATCTAAGAAAAACACAAAAACCGATAATGGACCTTTATGTGTCAACACAAGTTCCCCAATCGAGTCGGAGAAACCTTTGAGTTGAATTTGAGAATGGGAAGCAAAAAACGGACCTTGACCAAGAGCATCCTTAAGATAACGAAGGACGGGATGTGTTGTTGTAAGATGAGCATGTGTAGGCTTGTCCGTAAACTAAGATAATTGTTAAACAACATAACGGATGTCGGGTCGAGTATTGATCGGATATAGCAAACGATCAATCAGTCTTCGATAGACAAAAATGTCGGGAAAATGAGGGTTATCCCCAACACTTAGCTTAACAAGTAAACAACATAGGAGATGGAACGGGTTTGGCACCAATAAAACCCGTATCTTGTAACAATTCCAGGGCATATTTCCTCCGGCACAAACTAATCCTATGAGAAGACCTTACAACCTTAAGGCCTAAAAAAACTTCAAAGCACCCAAATCTTTGATTTTGAATGTGGCATGGAGAAAATCCTTCATTACCGCAATTTCACTCAAGTCATTATTGGCCGTAATAACATAATCTACGAGAGATGAGTAAGGCAATGAATGATGTGGAAGAAGACTTAACAAACAAAGAAGGATCATATGCACCCTAAAAAAAATCTTTGGCAAGAAGAGCAGTAAACAATTTAGCATACCATTGTCTATCGGCTTGCTTAAGCCCATAGAGAGATTTCAATAACCTACATACTTTGTTTGGGGTAGAACTACGAAACCTCGAGGCGAGATCCATATATACTTCTTCATCAAGGTCTTCATGAAGAAAAGCTTTATTAATGTCCAATTGGTGCAAGTGCCAATTAGTAATCATTGCAACTATAACAAGGTCCGAATGGTAGTCATTTTGGCCATTAGAAAAAATGTATCAAAATAATCCACACTCGCTTGTTGAGTATAGCCTTAGCAACTAGTCGAGCCTTATACCTTTTTAAGGAGCCATCTACCTTATACTTGATCTTATAGACCCATTTGCACCCTATGCTCGGTTTACCAAGGAGAAGAGCGAGTGAGTTCTCAAATTTGGTTATCTTGTAAAGCCTTAATCTCTTCATCTATAGCTATTTTCCAACAATCATGCTTAACGACTTCATGATAAGTACGTGGTTCTATAGAAGTAGAAATGCTAACACTAAAATTTTTATGAGGAAGTGAACACTTAGAGTAAGATAAAACAGAAGATAAAGGATGAGGAGTAGAACTCGTGTGAAGAAGAGAAGCACAACCAACGAAGGAAAAGCTTGAGACAATTGACTTTGCAAGGTATAATGATAATCTTGAAGATATGTAGGTGTATGTTTAGATCGTGTTGATCATCTAGTAGGAGCTAGAAAAGAGTTCGATAAAGTAGTAGGCAAAGAATGACCGGAAAGGAGTGATGTGGGGGAACCGAGTTTAATAGGATGTATGATAATATCCGACACGGGTATGAGAGAAGAAACAAAAGGAGGAACATTTATGCAACTCTCGCGGGAAGAATCGGGAAGGAAATTAGGAAGTATTAAGTACGTAAAAGTATCGGAATGTGTAGAGAAACAAGCAAACGGAAAAGTATCCTCATAGAAAATAACATCTATAGGGATAAATGTATTGCCATTATGTAGATTATACAAGCTTATAACCTTTGGTTCCGATAGAAAAACCCAAGAAGATACATTTAAAAGCCCTTGCATCAAACTTATTTTTATGAGCCGGATTAGATGGAAAACAAAGACAATCAAAGACTTTAAGGTTGTCGTAACTTGTAACTTAGGAGTTTTCCAAAGAGAAGCTCAAATGGTGTTTTATTATGCAACACATAAGTGGGAATTTTATTGATCGGATAGACTACGAGTTAGGTTGAATTAGAGCTAGGAGTTTAGAATATTGTTCCGTAGTGAAAAAGGGTTGCATAGAACTAGAATCACTAGAAACCGTAGCATGATTGTTAAAAAATTTACTAGTAGAAGAGTTATCGACTTCATGTGACACATCATCACCATAAATATCAACTCGATTAGCCATTCCATTAAATCCAGCTTGAAGTTTGTCGGATGGTTTATAACTCGGTGGAAATCCATGCTTCTTATGGCATTTATCCACAGTATGTCCTTCAAAGCCATAAAATGCACACTAAAATTTAGATTTCCCATTTTAAACCAACCTCCTCCGACCGAAGCATTTCCAACGGAAGAACCGAACCTCTCGAAGTAGAAAAACTTCTACCACTATGCTAAGATATGGACTTCTTAAAGAAAACAAGTATTATGATTCATTTTACTAACGGGACTTTGTGTACCAAATCATACATTCAGTTGTCGTTTATGTTGAATGACCATTCCAAAAACCTTGTTAATGGATGGAAGAGGATCCATTAATGGTATTTGAGACCTCACGGTTGCAAAGTTATCATTCGGACCTTTCAAGAATCCGATCACATAATCGCAATTATGAAAATTTCTAATTCTTTGAAAGGTTTCACAACAACATCGAGGATTACAAGTACATCGAAGTATAGTTCGCAAGTTCAAAAATTCATCCCATAGCTTTTTCGAGTGAGTAAAATATTAAGTAATATGAAATACACTTTGATTATAGGAATACATCTCCTCTCGAAGCTCTGCAATTCCGAAATAGTCATCATGGGAGAATCGATTGCGCGGATCTATCCAAACCTTCGGTGCAATGTCCGACCAAATGGCATTTTGTGCAATCTCGGAGAGAGAGATCTAAGAAGCCAAGATAACACCACCGTGTTGCATCTCTCCCAAGCTAGATACGAGGGATCGATTTTTCCGGAGCTTTGATAGTTCCATCGATGAATTGCAACTTGTTTTTAGAGAGGAGAGACATCCTCATAGATCGATACCAAGAATGATAATTGGAATAAGTGAGTGGAGGAGAAACCGATGTAAGAGAAGGATTCTCACCGGCATGAAGAAAATAAGGACTAGACAATTGTTCTTTAGGTCTCAAACTCGTAAGACGTGTAGCTATGGTGATTTGTAAAGATAAAAATCGAGTGTTTGGTTTCTCGGAGAAGGAAGACTCGAAAGAAAAATTGCTCGATACCATAACAAGATTTGGGATGATAGATTTTGAGAGAGGAGTGAAAAATTCCTCTTAGTCTTTTCTGCTCGTATTTCTTATATATATATATATAACGGTAACAAAACATTCAAAACGAATTTAAAAAAAGGATTAACTAATATATGTGAAATTCCCTAATTAACCTTGGCGATTACAACGACTGAGCAAGAAGTAAAGCATGTGGAAAAACACGTGTAAGGGATGTTAATACATTTCCATCCCAAAAATAACAAAAAATGAGATATAAGAGAAATTTATAAAAATATAACAAAATGAAAATTTGATAAAAAAAAAAAAACATATGAAATAATACATGCAATATATAAAATATAAATAGATCAATTGACCCTAATAATAACAAGAGCAAGAAATTCAAACTAAAAAATTTCAAAAATCCCAAACGTAAAAATTAGAAACATCTCAAGAAAATTGAAATAAGCTATATAAAAAAATATTTGTAACTAATGAAAAGTATAAAATACCATCTCTTGTAAATTTATTTCATTGCCCCACACACACGCACGCGAATTTTATAACATAATTTTTTTAATCTTTTAGATTTTGTAAGTTGTTATTATTCTTTTATATTTTTCAATTTTTCTTTTTTTCCTAGGTTTTTTAATTTTTTTTAATTTTTGTCGTTTTTTTCTAGGATATTTTAAAGAATTTCAAAATTAATTTTTCTTTTCATGATTGTAAGGCATTTCCATCCCAAAAATGAGATATAAGAGAAATATATGAAAATACAACAACATATGAGAATGAAAATTTTATTAAAAAAAAAATCTATTTAAAGAAAAACAAGTAAATATTCAGTATTTTGTGTGCATATGCAGCCCTTATAAAATTAAGTTTAGTAAATTTTGATTATATATAAAAAAAAAAAAACACTTGTATTTCATTTTTTTCTTTTTAACAAATATTTTTATTTCTAAATGATACATATCTCGGTCTCCGTGATCCGTATATAGGTCTCGCATTTATAAAAATCTCTCCTTCTTCTTCTTTTTTATCTTCATTTTTTACTTTTAGTTATCAATTAATTATTTTTGTTTCTAAAAGGTAGGTGAATAATATTAAGTGAACAATGCCTGTAAAAAATTATACAATATTTATCAAAATTTGTAGTATTTTAAATACCTTAAGAAAGTTCGAAAATACCTATCAAATAACTAAACAAAAGCTTAAAACCAAAACAATATTATTGAATACAATAATATTAAGTGAATCGTGCTTGTGAACGTGGATTAATAGTAAAATAGGATTAAGTAAATAGCGCTTGTAAATATGAATTAATAATAAATAAATAGTAAAATAAGTATAAATGAATTACTAAATGAATCGTAAACGCTTTATTTATTTTAGGTGTTCTTGTTAATAACTTGATTTGGAACCAATCCCTGTAAAGTTTAAGACCGGATCAAGCTTATATATTTATTAAAAGTAGTTATGGGCGCAATGCAAATATAATAATTTGACAATACGTATATAATAATATAACAATAAAAACAAAACAAAAAGATAATATTTACTTAGCTAAGTCGGATAGGTTGAGAGGAGTATGGGTCGGGGGCATAGAAGCCACCTCATTCCTGTCCATTTTCGAGATGGATAAGAACTGGGCTATTTTCGAACTGGTGTCCATAGGGTTGGGCCTAGTTATCATCTCAAAGCTCATATACTACTACTCACCAAGCCCCATATTTAGGCTCCACTCCATCCCACTTCTTTCTTGCATTTCCTTTTCATAGTTGATTGAAATGTGTAAGTTAGCAGCAATGATCACTCTTCCCACGCCATCCTCAACTTCAGCACGACAAGCAATGAGCCTTAGCAAATCGATTTGATAGCAGAAATCCATTTGTCTTGTAGGATTTTACTTGGTAGAAATATCTTACAGGATTATAGTTCCTAATGCACTTTGCTGAAATTGGATTTTTCAGAAACAACCCAAAACAAATGATGTAATCAAAGCATTCACAGCACCAGGCGACTCTATATTTGCAGCATGACCCATGTCCTTGATTATCTTTACCTTTGATTTTGGTCCCAAGTGCCTATCTCAACATCAAAATGAATTCCCATTAATTGCCCCTTCAAATAAAATTGGTAAATGGTGAAGACTTGAATAACTAAATAATAACGAAAATGGAGTAGCTTAGCATCATATATTTATGTAATGCACCTTTGCAATTTATAGGCCAAGTTTACTGGGAACACATTATCCTGGTCACCCCATATTAGCAGTGTTTCCTTGATCACCCAAATGAAACGACAAATCAATAACTCAGCCCACAATAACCAATATTACATTGTTACAGAAAATGGAGATTAATTAACAGCCAGTGTTTTCACTCAAAATGATTCTTAAAAGTTAAAAACAAAGCATACCTGTGTTAGAATGGGAAGGTTTGTATCAGCTTTTTCGGCCAGCAAGTTCTCCAGTAGCTCTAACTTTTCCTTTCTCCGAATATTAACCATTACCTACAATGCAACTCGAGCCATTTCATAGAAAATTAAAACCTGATCAGGATTTTGTCATTTCTGAACTGAACTCACATTGATTGTCAACAAAACCATATCCTAGGTGGCACGCATCTATTGAAAATAGAATTTTGTCAGCTGATTTAAACTGTTGATCTAAACTGCACTCACATCGATAAACTCCTGAAGGAAAAAATCAGGAAGCCACCTCAAGGGCTTGGTCTTGTATACTGATAGGTTCACTAAGAGCCTCAGATCTTTTGGATGTTTGGGCAGAAGTATCTCTTCCGGATCTCTTCCAACTTTCTTAATCTGCTCCTCTATCTGTTCATCACTGGAACCTAACCCACTACTCACAATTACAACCTTCTCCACCTCCTCTGCACAAATTTCAGCCATCCGATATGCCACAAACCCTCCATAGCTAATCGAGTACACCGAGAACCTGTCTACGCCCAATCTTTTCAAACCTTCAACCAAACTCCTTGCTTGAAACACATCTGTTCGGTCTGACCGCTTCGAATAAGACTTGCCGAAAAACAATAAATCTGGAACATACAAATTAAAATTTTGCGACAGGGAACCCACTTGATAGAGAAACTGCCACCTTGCATCACCACCATAGCCATGTATCATGACTAGATTAGGTTTATTGAACCGCCTATGATTGGAGGTCCAAAAATGCACCGTGGTTTGATCGTCTAAATCAATGGTGAAAGGTGAGAGGCCACATAACCTGAAGTATAATGAAATCACTGTGTCAAATATGGTGAAAAAGATTGGAATCCGTTTCAAACCAAATAAAGCGGTTTGGAGGTACCGAAAAATGGCCAATGCTGTGGAGAGACAGAAGGTGAAAGAGTGGAAAAGCTTGGTTGAATCCATGGAGAGATCTTTGAGAAAAGAATGCTAAGCTACAAGTTTTCGTGGCTACCGTGTTACAACTTGAAGCCAATATAACGTGGTGGATGGATAAAATTTAAATATATATTAGAACGGCATGTGGTTGCCAAATACCATCAAACAAAAATAAAATACAAAATACTCCATTGACACGTAGAGTTGGATTAGGATCGCATGGTTGATTCAGCTCTAATGGGAAGACGTCAAATCAGAAACTTGTCTCAAAATATTTATGAACCTATTTTATTTACTTTCTCTTACGCAAACTGTCTTATACGTTGTAGTTTTCAACAAGGATATAATTAACAATAATAAGAAACTGAATTATCATTCTACATTCATCCACTTAATTTCAAAAAATTGTTAACAATAATAATAAAAAAAAAGACAGCATATAATAAGAACTGACTAATGAATATTCCAGACGCATACAAATCTTATACGATCGTTTAAATTAAAGAAATGTTATGTAAAGCCCCTGATATTATCAATTTAAAGGGTAAGATTATATAAATTCTTACATAGAGGAGATAATGTGCATGTCAAATTAAGATTTAGCATAGGTTGGTGCTCTTTCGATCCCAAAGTGATAGTTTCATTTCGACTTTTTACATAGTTTGAAAATTTTATTAATTATAAAGCTATATCAATATTTTTTTAACTATATATTTCTTAATTTTTTTTGTTTTGTTTAAGGAGAAAATTTATCTAATTTAATTACGCATTTCAAAATAAAAATATTTTAATAACACACAGTATTAAAATTTTGGACCATACAAGTATTTTAAAATATAACTAAATAAAACAATATTTTTTTAGAATGAAAAAATAGTATTAATATAGATATAAATAAATAAAAAGAAAATTTGGTTGATAGAGAGAGAGAGTAGCAATTCTAAGGGAAAGAAGCACGGCGAACTCATCGATTAACGAGGAAATGATGTTACAATAAAAATAGAGTCATGGGGGAATTGAGATTTAGCATAAGTTAAGAGTAACATTTGTCATGTCCTGGTCCACGGTGATTTGCGGCAGTTTCCCCAAAAACTCAGCAACAAAATTGCACAGAAATCTGTAGAAAAGTCTTTTTCGAGTTTCAACGATACGATTGCCTTGAAAATAGAACAAAGAGAGCAAGAGGAATGCGGGCACCGGGCAGTAGGGAGCCAACTTGACTATGTTTCCTAAATTAACAAAAACAAAAACATATAAAAATAAATAATAATTACTTTTCATTCTCTTTCAAATTATTATTTATTGTGTAATAATTTTGAACTATGATATTTTCATAATTTTTTAATTTTTTTAGGCATTCAAATGTAAAATTTACATTATATTTTATTTTGATTCTTCATGTTTTTTAAAAGATTTTTTGGTCCTTCATGTTTTTTTTAAAAAATATTTTTAATGCTTCTTGTTTTTATTTTATTTTGGTCTCTTATTTCAAAATATATTTTTAGCTTGTCGTGTTTTTATATTTTAGAATTAAAAAATATATTTTTTTTATTATATTTTTATTCTTTAAAATTGATCTTTTTAATTTTTAATTTTTTATAAAAACTCTCATCAAATTAATTTTAAATTTTTTATGTAATTTTATTTGTTAATAACTATGATTTTTTTTTCTAAGTATAGATTGTCAAATAAATTTTTTAAAAATATATCATCAATTAAATAATAGAATTTATGTGTTTTATTTGTTTATTCTTCATAAAATCAAATTTTATCATAATAAAATTTTTTAGTTATTTTTATTACACTCTATTAATTTTAATATATTTTTTACAATTTAGTTTTTTTAAAATATTTTTTTATTTATATTGTACACGCCGAGTATAGTCATAATGTATATATAAAAAATACAATAATAGGTTTTATTAAAAATTAAATATACATCTACACATATAACAACAAGCATTTAGTTTTTTTTTTAATATACTAAGACATTTTTTTTAAATTTTATACTAAATTTTATATTTATATTATTTCAGATTTTTATTTAAGAATGAATACATAACGAATAATGAATAGTATTTTTTTTAATAACAAAATTTATGAAAAATATAAAATTTTGATTAAAAATCATGAAATTAAATAAAATTTTACTTTATATTTTAAATTTAATATATTTTAATTGACTATTATGCTATGAAACTAAAAAAGAAAATATATTTAATTCCGCGCACTGCGTAATATCATGAAAAACCAATTAGTCATATACTACAGCAATAAATGCAATCCAAATTGAGAATTCAAATAAGTAATCTCTGAAATCTTTTGCAATACTAGCCATTCTGCCTTCTTCGTTTTTTTATCCATACCCCATCGTACCCAAGAAGCAGGTGAAGTGATCAAACCACCGAATTAATCCCCTAGATCAAGCACCACTATGATGGTAGTAATTTCAGGCCCGCCAATCTGCGAAGTCCATTTTAAAGGCCCACAATAATTGCGGCCTGAATCCACGTTAGACCAGAGGAGGAGAAATTTAGATGAATTGCATTCATCCAAGAAGTGACACGAAGCAATATTAGATGAAAAATTTAAGCTCAAATAATCTATTATTTCTCCTTGCCCTGCAAGAGGAGCACAATCATTTATCACACAAAAAGGGTCTAAAGTAAGCAAAGAAAATAATAAATCAAAAGCCTTTTGGTATCGTTACCAAAAAAAACAAAAAACAAAAAGGGTCCAAAATAAGCAAAGTGATTAACTGAGTATACAAAGCCCGGCATCATTTTCAGCCCAAAGTTTATCAATCCATCAAATCCGAATCCTAAAAATTCTACAATTACAGCGATCGAATTTGATTCAGCTCGCAAACCGTTAAATGCACAATAAAATCTAGCCGAGAAACTTTGTTCTTGGAGATAGATAATGCAACAGCTGTGAAGGTCTGCTCAAGGCTAGAGAATTTTGTGATGTTTCTTGTCCTGTTCAGTATGTTGTACTAAGATTGGCTAGAGATTTGTATGAAGATAGCTAGTATCTGGAATCAGGGAGGTAGATCCTGTTGAAATCAGTGATCTCCTATCCAAGGATGTACAAATCCAAGGATGTACAAATAACTTTACACATTCCCTGAATTCTTTCTACTTCTCAGTTCTCATATATATATATATATATATATATATATATATTGAGTAAGCTTCTAAATATGTAAAATCACTTTTGATAAATAATGTGGTACTAAATTAGTTATTATGAAAAAAGAAAATAGATTGTAAACATGTCAATTAATTTTGGACGAGATAATAATGTAATAAAATAGTAACGTGTAGCTATAATTTTATTGTCTAATTTATTTCTTACCTACTACTCTTTGACAATAACATGGATGATCAGGTGGGTATAAAAATGGAATGAATAAGGAAAGAATATGAATAAATGATATAATCATCTTTATAAAAGATAATAATTAATGAAGAAAAAATTTAGGTAATCGATTAAATGGTATCAATTAAATAAATTTATTTTGTCTTCTAGAAAAAAAATTGACGAAACTAAAAGACACAGATCAAATCATTTCAGTCTATACTATTAGAATTAAATGTTAAAACAGAAAAAATTTAATAACGCATTTTGGACTGAAATTTGTAAATAAGGTTGGACCTATTAACTATTTGATGGCCTTCCACATCAAAAACTATAATTAATAATACAGTAAAAAGGACATAGTGTCTTGTGTCTTATATTCATTATGAGGCACAATGGTAATATCATCAACCTATTTAGGACCGAGTCGGAAGCGTTACAGTTTGTTATCTTCAAAATACTAAATTATAATTTTATCTTTTTTTCTCATTCAAGTACATCAACTTTAAGTTTTTTCATTTGAATACATTATTTTTTCAAAACTATCGATCAAGTATTTTTCAATTTTTTCATTAACTGATGACTTGTTCGAATATGAAAGTATAATTTTATCCTCTTTTTGTTAGAGGAAACTTTTCTCCAAATTATTTTATCATTTTAATATTATATAAAAAAAATTAAAAATATTATTTTTTAACTATAAAATTCCAAACTAAAATCGGTTAGTTTGTTGTTAAAAAAAACTCCATTAGGTTTAGTAGTGAAAATTGAAGAAAAGCACAAATGAATCTTCTTAATAAAAAATCTCTTGTTTCTATTTTTTTCAACTTTCATGTCCAAAACCTATTTGAGTTTTTTTTTTTTTTAACGAGCAAACCTAACTAAGTATAGTTCGGGTTTTATAACTAAAAAATAATTTTTTAAATTTTTTATCAAATTTTAAAATAGCAAAATAATTTGGAGAGAAAGTTCATTACAAATATATATCATTATGAGGCACGATAGTAATATCATTATGAGGCACGATAGTAATATCATCAACCTATTTAGGTTCTAGTCGGGAGCGTTATAGTTTGTTATCTTCAAAATACTAAATTATAATTTTATCTTTTTTCTCATTCAAGTACATGAACTTTAAATTTTTTTCATTTGAATACATCATTTTTTCAAACTACTATCGCTCAAGTATTTTTCATCAATTTTTTCATTACTTGATGACTTGTTCGAATATGAAGGTATAATTTTATCCTCTTTTTGTTAGAGGAAACTTTTTCTCCAAATTATTTTATCATTTTAATATTAGATAAAAAAATTAAAAATATTATTTTTTAACTATAAAATTCCAAACTAAAATCAGTTAGTTTGTTGTTAAAAAAAACTCCATTAGGTTTAGTAGTGAAAATTGAAGAAAAACACAAATGAATCTTCTTAATAAAAAATCTCTTGTTTGTATTTTTTTCAATTTTCATGTCCAAAACCTATTTGAGTTTTTTCTTTTTAAACAACAAACCTAATTGAGTGTAGTTCGGGTTTTTTAACTAAAAAATAATTTTTTAAATTTTTTATCAAATTTTAAAATGGAAAAATAATTTGGAGAGAAAGTTCATTATATATATATATATATATAATTTGATATTCAAACATGTCATTAGTTAATAGAAAATTGACGAAAGGACTTGATTGATAATTTTGAAAAAACTAACATACTCAAATGAAAAAAAATTAAAATTCATGTACTCTTTTTAAAAAAAAATAGAAAAAATATATTTTGATAGTTTGAGAGTTACATATGTCATCATTTAATAAGAAAATTGACTATTCAATTGACAATTTTTAAAAAATTAATATATCTAAACAAAAAAATTTAAATTTATATACTTAATTGAAAAAATTTTAAATTAATATACTGGTAACCGCGTGCCTGCACGCTCTCCTGAGCTGGACCCTTTTTTTTTCTTTTTTGTTGGATCTGGAATAAGTAAATTCTCAAGGACCTAGCAACTGCTATCCAAAGAAAAGGAGTACAATGCTGAAAAGGGGTACAGCTAGCATTGCTTTATATACAGTTATCTCATATCCGATCAGTGTTGTTTAATGTTACATATGAACACAGAATTGAATAATGGAGAGATACCTTACTTCCAAAGTTGTGCAATCTCTTTCTTTACCACTTTTTTATCCTTTGCCTAGGGTTTGTCTTCACGATATGACTCTTTACCTTGTTTTCTCTTCCACTTTTTGGACGGCTGTCTGTCTTTTGTTCTCAAATCACAAGCTTTCCACACAGATTCCTTCTGTTTTCCATCTTCTCCTTCCTATAAATCCAACGCTTCAATTGGAAATAACCCATCAAGTTGGTTCTTCTACTAGAGAAAAATCAACCTTGATAAGAAATTAATTGTTCATCGAGTCTCACCAGTATGGCTACATATCATGCCTACAATACTGGTAGTACTGCCAGCCAAAACTCGTCACAAAGAGCATTAGCCATGGTGTTGGCTCTAGCATCAGCTGTGGTGCTATCACCATTGTATGTTAACCGAAAAAACGATCATACTCATTATTTTAATTATGAGACAAAACGGAGCTCTGGCTTTGTTCTTCCAATGGTGCTTGCTGGACTAATAATCGCTATTAGGACTACTTCTTCTTCCACGTCAGTCCAAAGAGGTGCTGGTGCTTCTTTTATCCCATCTCCAGATCCCTCTTGGGTGCTAAGAATTGGGAGCTCATCTTGGGGACTTGCTGGAGTGTTAGTAATGCTTATGCTCGTGCTGTCATGGCAAGACTCTGTTCAAGAATTCTTCTGGAGATGAAGGAAAGGCAATCTACCTTTTTTTTTTTAGTAGTGGTTCTTTATTTTGGTTGTAATATTAATAAAACATATCAAATAATTTAAGTTGTGGTAGTAATTTAAAGTTTAATTTTCTCCAAGTTCAAATTAATATTGTGAATTTTTAGAAAATATCCTGTATCCTTGCAGGAAAATAAAGGATCCCCCAAAACCCACCCAAAAAAATTATGGGCGATTTCCGCTGATTGATAATCAACAAGGATTTTGTTTGCCAGTACAAATACGACCATTGAAGTACCTGGCTAGAAGAATTAATGGTATCATTTTAAAACTTAAATGGTATATATCATCTCTGAAAAATTGGTCAAAAGTTTATATTAGTTCTCCTATTCTTGACTTTGTATTAATTTGGCCCTTCTGCTTCTTTTTGCACTAATATCAACCTTTTATTTTTAAAGTAAGACGAAATTTGTAATTGATACAACAATAAATACACATGTGATTATGTGAATATGTTGTAGAGCTAACCATTGTTTATCAAATATCTTGTTTTAGCTGTAAAGCCATGGTTGAGTGTTAATAACTCCAATTTTCTCATTGCACTCAAAATTGGATCTCCTAATGAACAAAAAATAAAGAAGAAAAAATTTCGATCATAAATTTCCATCAAAATTTAAATAGCATGCGATATAATCCTAAATGTCAACATAAGAGAAGCTAAATCTTCAAAATTGTTGGATCTTACTCTGCAAGATCAATCTAAAATAACTATGTATGCACATCTCTTTTGTTTCGTTGGTTTCAAAGAGCTAACACAATTTTAGAAACTAGATTAGACTCAATTAATCATTGTTTTGTTACTCTTAATTAAAGATAGGATAAATATATCCATCAATCCTTATATAATGCTTAAAGTCTTTTATTTTTTTCTTCAATTTTCAATTACATTTTATCTATCATTTAAAAATTTTGAAATGTTTAATCTTTCTTTTCGATCAAATTTTCTGATCATGAATTTTTTGAACCAAAATATGTTTTACTAAAATGAAAAAAATAGAAAAAAAACACTTAAAGTCATATGACCCACATATTTTATTTTTTGAAGTCTTTAGAATTATTATTATTATTATTACTACTTGTATCTCAATCGGGAACATTTCAATCAAAAGATTATTTAATTAAAAAAAATGATTGGAATGATAGATTAAATACTTCAAATACTTTTAAAAATAAATTAAATGTAATTAAAAATTTAAGGAGGTATAATAGATTTTGAGGATTATATTATAAGGACAAAAGATATATTTATTCTTAAAGATAATAAAGAAAACACACAACAAAACCTACATTTGTACTTTTTTAGAGTAATTTATAGGGTTAATTATGTGCTTCTTTTCTATTTTCCATGCTTTGTTGTAGTTTAATTCATAGATATATTAACGATTTACTCTTCCATGCATCTCATGACAGAATTCTTGCATGCCTCCTCCCGATCATGTAACGCTATCACAGAACATCCTGATCAATATTATTGTCCCAATTTTTTAATATTAGTATTTTCAAGATCGTTGAACTTTGATTTTCTTTTTTTGTGTTTTGTGAGAAAGATTTATTCATGGTGTTATGGTTTTAGGAATGGTTCTATATAAAATATTCATAAATTAGAGTTTGTAAGTGTAGATTAAGGATTTTTATTCCATATAAGATTGCCTATTTTTTATGACAAAAAAAAAATGCTAATTTTCATTTATGTGCCAAATTAAAAGTATGGATGTCTAATCGTTCTTTCTAAGCTGAAGTGAGTTAACTGTTAATAAAATTTAAGGAAATCAATTGTTCCGCTTCCACATGTTAAACAAATAAAAATTTTGTTTATCAATACTGTAAAATTATCATTTAATAATATTAATCAATATCAATTTGATTTTTGTTAATATGCGCCACTGTTTATAGGTTCTGTTGGCCAGTTGTTTTGTCAAATTTTATGTTGATAAATTAAGTATTGATTTTAGTTGTCTTAATTTCTTGTTTTGCCGACATTATGGTCCTTTGCTTCTTGCGGATTTCATGCGTGGGATGGATTAGTTGGCAAATTTGTCACTTCTGTTTTCTCTGAAAAGATATTTGTGTTCTTCTTTTACTAGGCCCCATATATAATTTGCTGGTATGCCCTTGATTTTTTCCTGCAGACACTGTTGTCCTTTAATTTACTTCTTCTGGATTCCATTTGATCGGGATCGCATACTAGGCAAGTTTTTTTTTTTTCAATGGAAAGACCTATTAATATTGAGTCTATGCCGGACGATGTCATCGTTAACACTCCTGGCATGCTTCCAATGGATTGCATTCTTGAATGTGGAAGAGTAAGCAAGCGATGGCAAGCCTTAATCTTGACACCTTTCTTTGGAGAACTGCAGCTTAAGAGAGTTTATATGCTGGATTTTTCTCCAAAATTAATTAAGTAATTTAATGAATTTATTATGTGTTAATCATGTTATTTTTTATTTTTATTTTGGTGTGAGTCCACACTACATAACAAATGGATTAGAGTGAGAATGAATCTTATCCAAGTACAAAGTACAAAGTTTTAGACTGCATAAAGATAGATACAAATATTCTAGCATGATCAATATCCATGACTTATCTTTGGAATGTATTAAGAAAATTGACTTGATAAACTTGGAACATGGTTTATTAAAGAAATGCACAATTGTTGCTTCATTTAGCATTTGCTCGCAAATTGAAACAATTTAGCTCAAAAAATCTGGTTTTCTTTAACTCAAATAACTCGTCCAAACATGGATGACTTTACACGATTCTACCGGTTAAAGATCATTCTTATTTTATTATAAATATAAACCTCATAGAAATTATGTGGAATTTTCAACTTTTGCATCTTTTGCTCACACTCTCTTAAAACTCTTTCACTCTCAAACAAGTACAACTCTTAAACTTTCATTTATTTGAATTTTGACCACCTGCCATTATAAAGTGTGTCTTGTTAGCACTATCTTTTTTCCTTTCACGCCTCTCACTATTTATATCCATTACACTTAGTTGGTTGATTGTTGCTTTTACTAGTCACAATACCGATTCTCCGCATCTCGATCGGTTTATTAACCAATCGTTTGATTACTTCTCAAAAATCACTCATATATTTTGGCGACTCTACTAGGAAATTAATGATTGTAAAAGAACAATGACCCCTTTCAAGTCTTTCAAAAAGAATGTTAATCTTGTAATCAACTCAACCGTGCATAAATGTTGACAAGCATAACAATATTAACATACCAAATTTCTCAATATTGAGAATGACAATAATGCTCAAATCCTTGTAATTGGTAGTGGCAACTTATTAGTGTCTCTGAAGGCGACTTGCCTTGGCCCCATCATTCGAGTTCCTACCATAGTTGTCGTACAACCAAGTCTTCGAGTTGTAACTAAAAATCCGAGATTTTTATTTCATGATAAACTTAACGAAGAGGAGATTGTTCTTAGCAATAAAGATGATGTGTAAGAAAGTCCCCTACTACAATACTAGAATCTTTATCGTAATCAAGTGATTGTTGTTACTCATAACCCAACCGAGTTAAGGAAAGAGGACTTTGGCATGAAAGTCTACTAGATTGCTCACAACCACAACACAATCTATGTGAAAAAAGGTTTATGAATTGCTTAATCCTTATTCAAAACTATAAATTTTTGTAATTTTATCAATCTTTTAGGTTTTGATGAGGAAGCCAAATAAACAATTATGACAGTACGTTGTTCAAATATCCACTAGACAATAAAACGAGTGTTTTGTTGCCAACGATCTAATTGGAAAGATGAAAAAAAATCATGTGAATGATGTGTTCTTCACCGATGTTGATCATTATATGGAAAAGATCCACCATAACATACACCATACATGGAGAGTAAGGAGAAGGATTGCTCTATTCGTAAGCCTCATCAATGTTGGCTCATTTTTGAATCTTATGACACTAGCCATCTTGAGAGGTTTATATAGTGATAGAAGATCCGTAAATTAGACACCAACTACTCTCAAAGCTTTTGACAAAACTTTATTTCAAACTTAAGGTCATATTGTGGTGGCTTTTCAAATGGACCCTATACGAAACCCAACATAGTTTTATGTTATAGATGAACTTATGTTTATTGCTTAATGATAAAAAGGTCTTTTATTCATAAGTATGATTTGATCCTCTCCTCTAAGCATCAATGTATGAAAGGAAATTGCGAGAGGAATTGACATCTTTATTTCAAGCATTAAGACACATTTTAAGCATCACGAGTCTTATTTGGTTGATGCATTGGTTTTTTTTTTTCATGGTATGCTAATAATGAAGAGCTCAAGATTTACAAATCCAATCATATTTATATTAAACTAGTAGCTACTGGGACTAACCACAAGAATAAGAGCATATATAGGGATGGCAAGAGAACAAGGCAAAATGACTAAGATAACGGCTATGCTTTATAGCTGAATCCATAGACTAGTGATTTTATTGCCCTCATAAATTTTTAATATATCAACCAATATCATATGTAATAAACTTATTATCAACATTTGTAATCCTTAAGTATTTTATGCTAATAAAATAAATAAATCCTATAAAAATTTATTTTTTGCTATATTTCTATCTTTACATGGTTTAAAAATAATATATGAACCTAACACATCAAAGAACGGATACAAAGATGTAAAAGTGTCATACTTTCAAAATTTATAAGAGACTTATGGTTGTCACAAACAAAGAAAAAAAATTCATGAAACTTTTGCCAAGTCACTTGACTAGTCGACTTGTGCATTGGCTTATCTATAAACATTTGTTAATCATTTGTTCTCTCCGATGGCAACTTCATATCCATTTAGCTAAGCTATGCATTAGCCATGGTATGTGTAACGCCCCCGCCTCGGTCATATTTCTATTATCCAAATAGGGTATCTGGACGAAGCGCGTTACGCCGACATACCCTAAACTCTAAGTAGTTCTCTTATGATATTCTTAGAACTTTAAC